TACTCCAACTGTGGTCTGACCAATGCCACATAGAGGGGAAGTATCACCTCCTTCGCTCTATTTGTCATGCATCTGCTAATGCATTACAGTGTGGTTAGCTTTACTGATGATTTCATCACGCTGATGACTCATGTTCATCTTGGAGTCCAGTATGACTCCAAGATCCCTTTCTACTTCGGTGCTGCTGAGAAGGTTATTCCCCAGCCAGTAGGTGTGCTGGATATTTTTATGCCCTAGGTGCAGCACTCTGCATATGTCCTTGTTGAACTGCATCCTATTATGTTCTTTTCCAAATGACCCAGGTCTGCCTGCAATACTTCCTTGCCCTCTGGTTTGTTCACTTCACCCCACAATTTAGTATCATCTGCAAACTTGGACAGAGTACATGGCATGCCCAAATCCAAGTCACTGATGAAGACATTGAAGAGCACAGGTCCAAGGATCAAGCCTTGCGGGCACCCACTGCCCACATCCTTCCAGGTCAATACTGACCCATCCACCACCACTCTCTGGGTACAACCCTCTAGCCAATTTCCCACCCAGCAGACTGTGTAATTATCTAAGTCACAGACTCTTAATTTATTTATGAGAATGGGATGAGATACTGTATCGAAGACCTTCCTAAAATCCAAGTGAATGACATCTACCTCTACTCCTGCGACTAAACATTTTGTGACCTGGCCATTAAAAGAAACCAGATTAGTCAGACATGATCTAAGACTGCTGGAGGTTGGGGGGATTATCGTCACTGCTTGCCCACTGGGCAACCCTTGTAAATCCAGCAGGCTAAGGCACTTAAGGGAATCCACCCCTACCCTAGCCCTGGGACAATCTGTAGGGGAGGCAAGGGCCCCCAATGGGACACTTGCCTGCCTGTACGCAGGAGCTTGGGGAAAAAACAGAAGGAACTGGTCCTCCTGCTAAACAAGAATGACTATGACCTCACAGGGATAATGGAGACCTGCTGGGACTCCACATATGACTGGGCCACAGGTACAGATGGCTATACCCTGTACAGGGGTGATTGTGCAGATAAAAGGGGTGGAAGTGTAGCCCTCTATGTCAAGGACAGCTACGCATCCCTCCATATTGACATTGGCACCCAGGATGGATGACTGTAGTCTCTCTGGGTCAAAATACATGGGGAACGTGGCTCAGGGGACATGGTAGGAGTCTACTACAGACCTCCTAACCAGAAACAAGAGCTGGACCAGGAATTCACCAGGGAACTGGCTGAGGCTGCACACCCTCGGTGCATGGTTGTCATGGGAGACTTCAACTACCTGGACATCTCATGGGAAGAGTACTCAGCCAAATCCGATTGATGGCAAATCTTCCTCACGTGTGGAAGAGCTCTACCTGACTCAAGAAGTCTATGGGCCGATGAGAGGTAAAGCGTTGTTGGACCTGGCACTGGCCAAAGGGGATGACATAGTCAGTGACCTAAGAATTGATGGAAAGCTGGGTGATAGTGACCATGAGCTGATCACCTTTTACTATCCACTGCAAAGCTGGCAAGTCAGTCAGCAATATACAAGTCCTTGACTTCAGGAAAGCTGACTTTGACAAGCTCAGGAGGCTTGTTGTCAAGGCCCTAAGGGACCACAGCTCAACAGGAAGAGGAGTCCAAGAGGAATTGCATGGGAGCACTCCTGACAGCACAAGGGATGGCTATCCCATCTCGGAGGAAGGGTAGCAAAAAGGCACAGCAACCCCCCCGGCTCAGCAGGGAACTCGAGAACCTGCTACACCTCTAAAGAGAGAGACTTATAAAGGATGGAAGGTTGGAATTACCACCAAGGAGGAGTACTCAGCACTGGTCCGTACCTACAGGGAGTGGATCAGGAAAGCCAAGGCTGCAACCGAGCTCCATCTGGCTTCACAAATATGTAGGGAGTCGGAAAAAAAGCAAGGGTAACATTGGACCCCCGCTGAACCAAATGGGACAGCTGATAACCGACACCCAGGAAAAAGTCAACCTGCTTAATGGGTACTTTGCATCAGTCTTTCATCAGTTCAATGGGACCACCCTGCCTAGCAAGATGCGAGATGGCCAGGATGAGGGCATATTTATACCCAGCACTGGTGTTGATCTAGTAAAGGATCACCTTGAGAAGCTGGATACCTTCAAGTCAGCTGGTCCTGACAGGTTACACCCTAGGGTACTCAAGGTGCTGGTAGGTGTCATAGCCCAACCATTGGCAAAAATATTAAAAAATTCATGGCACTCAGGTGAAGTACCTGAAGACTGGAAGAAGGCCAATGTGGTACCCATCTTCAAAACAGGGCAGAAAATAGATCCCTGGAATTATGGGCCAATCAGCTTGACCTCAATCCCTGGTAAGATTCTTGAGAAAATTATCAAGGGGACCCTTCCGGATAAACTGGCTGAGGGAAACATCCTGAGGGATAGCCAGCATGGGTTTGTCACGGGTAGGTCTTGCCTGACCAATCTCATCTCCTTCTATGACCAGGTGACGTATCACCTGGACAAGGGAGAAGAGATTGATGTCATATACCTGGACTTTAAAAAAGCCTTTGAGTGGGTGTCCCATGACTTCCTTATGACAAAATTGGCCAACTGTGGCCTTGGCTACACCATGTTCCAATGACTGGGAAATTGGCTCCGAGGTTGGACCCAGAGAGTAGTGGTCGATGGCAGTGAGTCATTATGGCGCTCCATGACCAGTGGCATCCCCCAAGGCTCTGTCCTTGGACTGGTTCTCTTCAACATCTTTATCAACGGTGTGTACATTGGTGTCAGAAGCACACTGGCTAAGTTCGCCAATGACACTAAACTCTGGGGCATAGCGTCCACACCTGAGAATAGACTTGTGATCCAGGCTGACTTGGATAAGCTTAGTAAGTGTGTGGACACAAACCTAATGACGTTCAATACTGATAAATGGAAGGTACTCCACCTCAGGTGAGGGGGGGGGCGAGAAAACCTGCAGTATACTTATAGGCTCAGCAGTGCTACACTTGCTAGCACCACTGCTGAAAGAGACTTGGGGGTCATGATTGACAATAAGATGAAGATGAGCCACCAATGCAATGTCGCAGCTGGTAAAGCAAACAAAACTCTGGCTTGCATCCATAGATGCTTCTCAAGTAAATCTCAGGATGTCATCTTCCCACTGTACTTGGCCTTGGTGAGGCTGCAGCTGGAGTAATGCATCCAATTCTGGGCTCCACAATTCAAGAAGGATGTGGAGAATCTTGAGAGTCCAGAGAAGAGCCATGCACATGATCAGAGGGCAAGAGAATAGGCCTTATGAAGAGAGGCTGAGAGCCGTGGGACTCTTCAGTTTGGAAAAGCACAGGTTTAGGGAGGACCTGGTGGCTGCCTATAAGTACACAAGGGGTGTTCATCAGGATCTGAGAGAACATCTGTTCACCAGAGCACCCCAAGGAAAAATGAGGACCAACCATCATAAACTCCTACAAGTCTGTTTTAGGCTGGACATAAGAAAAAAATTCTTTACTGTCTGAACCCTCAAGACCTGGAACAGACTCCCTCCAGATGTGGTGCAGGCACCTACTCTGGACTCATTCAAGAAATGCTTGGATGCTTATTTTGCTGGGGTCCTTTGACCCTAGTTGACTTCCTGCCCCTGGGGCACGGGGCTGGGCTTGATGATCTTTGAGGTCCCTTCCAGCCCTTATATCTATGAAATCTACAAATCTACCTGCTATGAATCCATGCTGATTGCCCTGCTGCATTATTTTTCCCACTGGACTCACACAAATATGGTCCTTAATAATTTTTTCAAAGACTTTTCCAATGACAGAGGTGAGACTATTGTGGACTGTTGTGGAAGGACATTTTTAGGGTAATGATATGGATTTTGGATGTTGAGGTAATGACATGGAATATGGGGGTGCTGAGTGTGCAGATGAATGAAGGCTTTTGCTGTGTCTCAGCAAAAAGCTGCTGGTCATAAGTGTCAGGTAGTCACCGGGTACAGGTGTGTACTCTTACATCCTGCTGACATTCACTGGTCCCCTCAGGGTGGCTGCACCCCTTATGGTCGATCTGGGTGAGGTCTGGTGCCCTTTCTTCCCGCTCGCCATGACTTTGATGATAAGAAGATGTTTATGAAAGGGAGGTGGTAACTACCCATCCTACACCTGGATCAACCGAGGGGGCTGCCCCAGTGCCCAAAGCCTCAGGATAAAAGCAACGAAAGGACCCACTCAAAACCAATTTCTTTACTCTCTTCTCATTTTATTTTTTGGGGTTACCTGAAATCTTATTGCTTGGTCTTTGTCTTCCTTTGGGTGCTATCAAAGTCTGGTCCCAAATGACTGGGGCTTTGTTACCCCTTGGAGTCTACCAATGGCTTGCTCTCTGCTCAAGATTCCTCCTGGATACTTTGTTATTTATGACTGTGCCGGGCTTAATTGGAGATGCATGCCACTTAATGAGGAGGGGAACTCCCTCTTCCCCAATCAGCTGGTTTGGAGGTGCGGTTGTCTCAGCCCATTGGCTTTCCACCTACTCCCGATCTGGTCATGGTACCCTTTTGGGGTACACGGTCCCCTCTTCCACGTGGAGGAATGCTGGGTCCCGATCCGTAGCTCCAGCTTTCGCAGCCTTCCTCCTGTGTCTCCGGCTCCTGGGCTTCTTCCTTCTCCTTTCCTGCTGTCCTTCTCTCCTCCCCAGCTCTGTTTCTCACCCCCGGATATTGCCCCCATTGTGGATTAGCCCCAATCCGCTTCACCCGGCGAGGAGGTAAAGCTGGGCTGGCACAGATGGGTACTTCCTGTCACAGCGTGGACATCCTGATATGGTGAGGTCCGTGCTCCTGGCCAGGGTTGTACCCTCCGGACTCTCACAACAAGGGTGGATGATATATTAAAAGGTAACCTCAGCAAAAAGCTGGTGGTCACAAGGCTAGCTGATATATTAAAAGCAACTAACTTAGCTAATGCTTAAGTAAGCAGAATCTTAACAGGGGAGGTAGGGTGCAAAGTGCATGATATGTTAAAAATAGAATAGCCCACCAACTAATGTCAGGAGACAAAAGCAGAAATACAGCCTTGGAGATGGAAGTCAGCAAGAAAACCAGCAAGAAACCACAGGTGACTGGGAGAAGAGGGGCATCAAAGTCTTACACATGCACTCTTAGCAAAGAGGCATGTAAATGAATGAAATGCATAGGCAATACTATGCTAAGGAAGCAAACAGTAAACAGAGGTGGAGCTTGAGATAGGAGGTGAAGTAGGTGGAACCAAAGGTGGGACAAGGGTGGAGCAAATGTTAATATGTATGAATCAAGATGTATAAATGTTGGAAAGAACTGTTGTTCAGGGAAGGACCCTGTCTCTTATGGCATGAGACCCTTGTCCGAAGCTGTTTCTCCATTCTGAATAAAGCTGTTGCGAGCAATGTGTGCTGGTGTTTGCTCCCTGCTCTGCTCTGGCTAATGAGTAACAGGATCCATGGGTAATTGGATCGTCATCTCCCTAGTCGTTGGGTGCTGCATGGAGTCGGGGTCTAACAGACATTACTATTTGAAATCATCCTGAATATAGAAATCTATCTAATTCACCAGAGAGTCTATCTCATACTCAGTTTGATGTTTTGAATCTGTAGATGCTCTGCATCTATAGCTATAACTTCTGGAAGTCTAATTCCATTCAAATGGCCTCTTGTTTTCCAAAAATGCTGTTCATTTACTCAGAAGTACTTTTTTTTTCTGTTAAAAAAATTGTTTGCTGGTTACTTAGAAGGCATACAGCATAATTTAGTGAGTCTTCTTTGAACTGATCCACTGAAAATTATCCTTTTTGTCTTTTTAACTACTATGAATTATAATTACACACTTCAAAATTTGTTCAAGAAATGGAACACCAAGTGAGTGCAAGTTTATAAAACACACTACTTGCTAGTTTTAAAATCTAGTTAAGCCAGAGCCATCTGAATTTAAAGAGGGAGGGCCAGATTTTATCACTTTCTCAAAGTGTGGTATACTTACTCTAAGAGTAATAGATAATACCTAAATAGAAGAGTAGTCATTCTGGTCTGGCACTCTAAAAAGTATACTTAAAATCCTCATAGATCATGTTTACTTTCTTCTCCTGATCACAACACTGTGTGAAGAACAAGCATGGCATTTTGCCACATTCATCCCTGGGGGAGATCTATTGAAGTCAATGAAATTACAGCAGTGATGCATGTGATCTATATTACCTTTCTTGGTATGGAGGCACTTTCCAATACTATTGAACCTATTCTGACCTTCATTTGATCTGATCTTGATATTTACCAGTTTAAAGGGCTTTTCTGGAGGCTGCCTACTCATAATAGCATAATATCAAAGCTTACCTTTACAGTTGCCTTGTCAGCAATATTGCCCATTGTTAATATTGGTAGATATTGTATGTGTGTTTTGAGGAGCATGGGAGAGGTTAGTGAATGCACTGCCCCAAGCAAATCAATGACTATGGAAAGAAAGGACACATACTTTTGGTACCTCTTCCTCTCTATTTGGAAATTAAAATTGATTTTTGTTGTAGTCTATATTTGAGTCTGTTGATATGCTGTGTTGCATTCTAGCCAACACACTAAAACACTGAAATATTTCTCGGTTGGCTTTATTTCCTCAGCTACGTAGGCCAATGCACACATAGCCTAAAATTGTGTCAATAGTTACTTAAAACCATTTTTCCCTTTTAATTGTTTTGTTTGTTGTTGTTTTTACAGAGTCAAACCAGCATTCAAAGATAAAAATGGCATGCTTAAGAGCAAAGGGAAAGAAGAAAGTAGAGGGCCCACTCAGGATCACAGAGCTGAAGATAAAGACTAAAGCCAGAGAAGAAAAAGGGTAAGGCTAAAATCAAATAGAGATGCAGTTCAATAGGAGACAGGTTTATCTTCGTAAGAGGCCAGAGATGCAGGTTGTCCACCTTCAGTTAAATCTCATAATTATAGCTTATTAGACCTTCTAGCACTAATGCATGTTGAAAGATGCTGCTTGATTAGGTACTTAAAGGGTTAATGTGTAAGGTCTTGCCACATTAGGAAATAGTGCTGAGTGTCTATGGGTTATCAATAAAGCATTTACTGTTGTAGCCATGTATAATCCTGTCTGAACCACACTGGCAAAAAAATCAGCAGAGCTATGTAATTTGTAATATCATACAAATCACTAATTTTCAATGTTATTTGTTACTTTATGATATAAACCTGCATGGGTCTGTATATTTTCTATGATATACTGAATATCTCTCATTGCCTCTTAACTGGATCCAGATTTGAAAGTGTTTTAGCACTGGAGGGGGCATTCATCAGCTGGTAGGACTGGACTCTTACTTCACTGCTTCTTATTTTGATCCTTTGATCTTTTATATTGCTCCTTGCACTGGCTGTTCTTTCTTATTATGTTTTTTAATATATTTTTAATATATTTTCTCCACTGTATTTTTCTGTGGAATGATGCATTACAAAACCCAGCCACTGGGTCCAGCCCTGGGGCTTCTCTCTTCATACCCTACACTGATTTATTTTTTGCGCTCCCCAGCCCTTTGCCCCTAACCAGCCATCCCTCTCAACCCCCATCCCACAAGCTGCTCCAGGTGCAACCACTTTTATCAGTGTTCACCACTGCCAGAACTGAACAAATAAGTTCCGGTGGAGGGAGAGGTGGAAGAGATGGTGGGTGTAGGTTTGCAGGGGGGGACCCCATCTCCATTTGACCCTACCTATAGTTTGTGCCTACCCCCCACCCCTTGTGGGTCATGCTTGCCCCCCCCATACAATCCACATGTCGTGCCTGACCCCCATCCCCTGGTGGACCCCTAGCCTGATGGACTCCCAACCCACCCATTATCCCCCCATAATGACTTACCCATGGGAAGCGATTTTGAATTGATTTAACCTCTCCTAATGCTCCAAGATTTCTGTACTTAGCCTAGCAGGGTAGTAAAGCACTCAAACATGTTAAGATTTTTAAGACTCATCTAGACAAAGCGTTGGGTAGGATAATTTAGTTGGGGATGGACCTGCTTTGAGCAAGGCATTGGACTAGATGACCTCCTGAGGTCCCTTCAAACCTAATTTTCTATGATTCTATGATCTCTGGTAATGTGTGTCTTAATGACCCATCCTTTGAATATCCTAATTCAGGGAATGCAGACTTTACTTAGGTTTTTATTGTGCCTGGAAAAAACTCTTCCCATTGGTTTTTTAGTATTTCTTATTTTAGATGAACTTTCTACTTTCTGAGAGTGATACAAGGGTAGATTTTTTTTACGGTTTACCTTGAAGGGAAAGTTCAGCTGAGAGTCAATCATAGAAAATCAGGATGAAGGGACATTGAGAAATCATCTACCAGTCCTCTTGCAAAGACAGAGAATATCTTAATCATTTTAGACATTCATTGTCTTACCTCCTCTTAAAATCCTCCCTGATGGTGATTCAGCTTTTCCTAGGTAACTTTTCCACATAGTAAAAACCTCTTCTTCCTAAAACTCAACTTATATTTCCCTTGTCTACAATTTAAGCCCATTGTTTCTTGTCTTTTCCCTAGTAGATATGAAGAACAGTTTATAATCTTTCTCCTTACAGTAACCTTTTGCATATCTGAAGTCTTTTAAAATGTTTCCCCTCTGTTGTCTTATCTCTAGACTAATCAAAGCCATCTCCTTTGGCCGTAGATCATGTTTTCTCACTTCTGATCATTGTTGGTACTCTCTTCTAAGTTATCATCAATTGGTCACATCTTTCTTGAAGTATGGTGCCCCAAATTTGGACAGTTCTTCACCTGAGTATTCACTTACTTAGTGCTGAGTAGAGTGGAAGATGTATTTAATTTATTTCAATACACTATTCCTATTTATGCATACTAGTATGATGTTATATATTTTGCAACAGTTTACTGATCCATGTTCATTGTGATATACTGTAGTCATTAGATCCTTATTTGTAGAACTGCTGACTAGTCAGTTGTTCTTCATTTGTATTTGAACAATTGATTATTCCTATGTTTGTTATTTTGTACTTTCCTTTATTGAATTTCAAACCATTTCTTCCATTTGTCAATATTTTTTGAATTCTAATCCTGCCCTCCTTAGTGCTTGTAACCCTACCCAGTTTGGTATAAACTGCAAGTTTAACAACTGTACTCTATTCCCTCAGTGACAGACTATGGGTTCTATGGTAATCTTATTGTTATAAATGTGTGGCAGGCTTGCCAGCAGCAGCCTGACTTGATGGCTTGAGCCAGATGGCCCAGGCATTCCCTTTCCCCACCAATCAAAAGAGGGTAGGAGATAGGCTAGCCCCACCCTGACCTAGCGGGTAAGATAAAGAAGAGGACCTGAGGGGGAACTAACCACCCAGGCTTTCCCATTGGTCCATTCTCAATCTGGGGTGGAGTCTCCAGAAGGAATAAAAACCCACGTACCCAGCACATGGGTAGCTTTGATGAAGGCCGATGAAGACAGGCTGCAGAAGAGCTGATGAGAACTGATCAGCGGGAGTGGAGCAGTTCCCTCAGAAGAGCCCTGAAGGAGGCCCAGTGCTCAGAGTGGCACGTGGCAAACTGGCCAGTGGCAGCTCTCTTTGGCATGTGAGCAGCATGCAGGGAATCCCCAGTCTCAGAGGTGCAGGCAGCACCCCAGCTGGGAACTCACAGATGATGGCTGCTCTTGGAGGTTCCCTTCAGCATGCAGGTGGCACACAGGAAATCTCCCAGCCTCAGGGCTGCCAGAAGCAGCCTGGCTGGAAACCCGCAGGTGGCGGCTCCCTTCGGCATACGGGTGGCATGCAAGGAATGTCTCAGGGCTGCAGGCGGCAGCTCCTCTCGGTGGCTCTCTTCCATGTGTGGGCAGCATGCAGGGAATCCCGAGCCTTGGTGCTGTCTAGCTGGGATGGCAGGGAGTGGCTTACTAATGTGTCAATCAGCAGGCTGTGCGGCTGGCCAGGGGAGGCTCCCAGAAGGATGAAAGCCCAAGCAGCAGCCAGTAGCTCAGCCTTTGCTAGTTTAGTGGTGGAATTCTTATCTGGCACACTGGAGACCTGGGTCTGAGACCTGGTCAAGGTAACTGAGGGGTAAGTTGTCAGAAAGAGGGGCTATACACTGGGAAGGTTGGCTCCACATCTTTTCCCTCTCCCTGCCCCTTCAGAGAACATGTGTCTCATATTTTGTCCAGGTTACATATGTTTAGACTAGTGACTTATCCCTGCTGGGTTTTTTCTGCTGACCTACTGTTTAATTTGTGTTGTTACTGTCCACTGTTCCCTTGCCTGTTGCCTGGAGAGCCTGCTGAGGGTAGGGGCTGTACACCAATGGGAAGGCTAAAGAGGGTCAAGGCCTATGCAGATATAGTGCCGTCATCTGCCATACCCAGCTGAGATTGCCTGGGTAATTGTTTTGTGAATTAATAATTGTAAATAGTGTATATGAATATATGTATATAGACATTGTACTGTACAATTTAACCTGTAAATAGTTAAATATCCTTGGGTGTACCTGGACTCTGCTCTGCTCCACAGGGGATGGAGGTGAGCTGGCCTAAAGCTAGGTGGTCATTCTCCAACAGCATGCTCACACCCTGCTAACATCCCTTCAATTGAAGAGGGGGTACTGACTGTGTACCACCTGGGCTACAGATGTGTTCAGGTTGTTTTAATGTTTTGTGCTTTGGGTGACCTGTAAAGGTAGTACACAAGGAAAGACGAGTTATAGAGTGCCTGTTACCTACCTGCTGTTGAGAGCTGTCTAGCATTGGAGGAGACTAGATGGATTTCCAGCATCAACAGAGCAAACAGCTTTGTTGACATGTCAACAGATGTGGGATTGCCAAGGGCTCCAGAGAAGCTGAAGGGAATAAGCATTGCAGTGAATAGGAAAGGGACCAAAGAGAGTGTCTGGCTGGTCAGGGTTTGTCTGAGGGGAGAGAGAGTAGCTGGGCAGCTTTGGGACTTGTATCTGTGTTGACTGGAGAAAGAACAGCTGAGCAAACTTTGTGTGATAAAGGCTGTGTAAGGTGGATTTGGGAAAGAGGAAATGCTTAACCCTCTGAAAGAAGCAGAGAACTTTTCCTGGGGGGCAAAGGCCCCCCAGGAAAGTAAATGTAAATGTTTATTTACTTTTTACATGTAAATGTAAAAAGTAAATAAAAGTAAATGCCTTTATTGAAGAAAAACTGTCTGTCTTGCTGCTTGGAAGTTAAGGGTACACTTGTTCTTCCCAAAATGATTCAAAGTTCCTGTCTCAGGACTGGAACCAGAAGGGAGCTCTCTGAGGCAGGGCCACAGAAAACCAGGGAGCATGAAGGATTGGTGGAAAGGCCATGGTCTTAGAGTGGAATAGATTTAGGGTTCTCTTCCTTACACAAGAAGTTGTGCCTGGGCTGGCTTCAGGGAGCACTCAGAGAGACCAGACAAGACCTTCAGGGTCCTGCACAAGCATTGCCTCAGGAGGGACTCCACGACAATCATAAGTCATTTAATCAAAATATTCAGTAGTTACTAGTCCAGGACAGACCCTTGCAGAATCCCAATTAGTACATTCTTCCAGCAAGAATAAAACTTATAGTATGATATTCCAACCAATTGTGTTCCCTCCTTATAATAGTTTCTTAAAAACTGTGTGTTTCTAGTTTGTTTAAAAGGATACTATATGGGGCAGTGTGAAAATCTTACTGAAGTCCAGATATACCATGTTTGCCTTTTTTTGTTTTGTTTTTGTTTGTTTTGTTTTGTTTTTAATCTGTAAGTCCTGTTATCTTGTCATAGAATTAAATTAGGTTGTTTGGACATGATTTATTCTTGATAGATCAATTTTGACTATTGCTTATCACCTTAGTGTATGGAGTTTTT